CTAAAATATGTTACAAGGTTTTTCTTGGTATCCAATTTTTCAAATATAAGTAGAGGAAGTTTTTCTAAACGTAATGATGATCAACAATACCAAAATTTTACCTCTTGATAATTTTTTAGTTTTGCGATAGATAGATGATGGAATTTTTGGTCCGAAATTTCAGGTTTTTAAATTTCTCCGTTTTCGAATAGTTTTTTACTTAGTACATAATTAAATTTGCTAAAAATACTATTATTGAAATATCGTCGTTGCTATTATTATGGGCATTCTGAACCTATAGGAAACCCCCCCCCCCATAATGTGAAAGCACCACTATTCGTATCTTCTTACAAGGAGTGCTTTTTTTGAGTCATCAGCAAAACCTTACGAGACCTAGCTCATTCGATAGAGAATTCGATTCTGAATAAAACCCGGTTGTTCTTTTTTGCAGAATGGCTATCCCTCTTTTTATAAAATTAAAATACTAGTGACCGTCCCTTACCATGAGTGCCTTTCGAGCCAAAAGAGAGGCTTTTGGGTGCAGTTTTACAATTTTATAAAATCAGGGATAGCCATTCTGCAAAAAAGAACAACGGGGTTTTTTTCAGAATCGAATTCTCTATCGAATGAGCTAGGTCTCGTAAAGTTTTGCAGATGACTCAAAAAAAGCACTCCTTGTTAGACTCGAATTAGTTATACCGAAACCATTAATTAAATAAATGGAAGTCGCGCCCAAAATTTCTCAAACTTCTACTTTCACTTCCGAAAACTCAATTTTTCCGGATCCCTCCTTGTTGTAGGTCCCGACAAAATCCCGACGATTGACACCTGTCCGCAGCCCAAAACAAGCTGTAGAACACATGCTTGTCGGCTGGCAATAGACGGCAATACATCCCACCCGGAAATCTCTTCCACCACCCGCATATACTGGCCATCCTCTCCACCACATTCACACGTCCCGGCCACCACCAGTCTTTTGGCACCCCCCGATGCTAATGTGGTTTTGGGGCCTGAGGCATCGTGGTTCCTCCTCCCCTCACAAATACTTGCCGCATTATGAAGCCCCTCCGGGTTTCCCAAAGTCGTAAACTATGCTCGCTAATGGCTTTCAATCCACGGGCACTAGACTTATACGAGGCTATAATTAAAATGTTTCCCAGGATTCCCTTGAACTTCCCAGAAATGGCTCGACATTTGAGCAACTTTCGCTAGAAAAAAGAGAAAAGGCATATAAAATAGCAGTTTTAATCGCTTTTTCTTAGTTTTAAAAATTTTTGGTGTCAACTAACATCTTCTAAAGCTTAAATTATACCCCGGATAGGCCGGTTTTTCGCTGGATATATGTTTTTTTCAGCTAATTAGCCTTGCTTCTTCTGAATACACTACTTTATAAAACTTTTGTGCTTTTGTATATTGTTTTCTTGTCTAAATCATCGAGAAACAAGTTTTTAATAGCAGGAAAGTATAAATAAGGGCCAAACGTGATTTTTTTTTACTTGAAAAGCCCAACAAATCGCCAATAAAGTATACGTTTTGATTAGATTTCTTTTTCCCAAGTCCATTTTATCAAACATGTGGATGCATCTGCGCGGAAATGCTACGGACAAACCACCAATAAAGCGAAAACCGGATAAAACTATCTTTTGAGTGAACACACACGAAACGGCGTTATCGAAGACTCACGGCCCGAAAACCGGCTTATCCGGGGTATAATTTAAGCTTTAGAAGATGTTAGTTAACATCAAAAAATTTTTAAAACTAAGAAAAAGCGATGAAAACTGCTATTTTATATGCCTTTTCTCTTTTTTCTAGCGAAAGTTGCTCAAATGTCGTTTTGGCCTGTTTGCTTAAAAGTCGCAGTTGCTCTCTTGTCGTTTTTGCCGAGTTGCTCAAATGTCGTTGCTAACCTGTCATGGTCCCAAAATTTTTCTCAAAACTACGCGTCAGCAAAACGGAAAAATTTATGACACGATATTCGGGCACTAATCATTGTTGAACAAAAAATGACCGAAACTTTAAAACCCTACAAATTTGACCATGCTCTTCCAGATAGCGTAAAAATGAGGTTGAAAAACTGTACCAAGCCAAAATGGGGACGACTCGGAAATCCCTTGAATTTCGCTGCCCTGTCTAGATACATCCAAGTTGTTTCAGCGGCCGGACTCAACTACGTGTAACGCTGCTCGGGTTTCGCGTTGTGGCGAGGGCTGCCGAGAGGGTGCTGGCTCGGGGTTCCTGCGAGCTGCTTATGAGAGTGGAGTTCGCGGCTGTGGCCCGAGATTGATCCTTGTCTCTGCGGGTCTCGGTCTGTCAGTCTCATCATATGCACTGATATGCCGAAGCCACCAGCCAGTCTACTATTGCTACTCTCCGGTAGGTGTGCGACGCCTAAACAAAAGTGATGGGATACCATTTCTGGGATTCCATCTGGGATTTGCTTAGAAAGTCTATTTGGACTTTTCAAATCCATAATCAGTGAAATACCTAGCTAACGTCTAAGTTAATTGTAAACGCGCAAATACACGACCTTTTCGCCTAAATTAATCAATCCCCAGTATTAACTTATCAAATCCGATTGATCACCTTGTTGGTAGAGACTAATTGCCTACAACCGCACGACAAAGGGCAGCTGTCACTGCCTGCTGCGCTAAATGCGTTCGCAATCAAGCAATTTCAGTGTTCTTCCTCCTGTTACACCAATGCTATGGAGACGTCTATGTGGCCCAACTTCTGGAGCACCTGATGATGGACTACAATAAAGTATTAGAAATATCCTAAATCATACGCTTTAGAACGTGCGCCCCGTGAAAAATGCCTCGGATGCCCTTACTGTCCATTTTGGGGCCAGTCTATGCCGACTAATCGATGTGGTAAGTCTGAAAAATCAATCCGATACCCGTTCAGGACGAAGTTAACCAAGTTCTTACTACAAGTCTCTGGCTGGAAATGGTAGGCTAATGATTTTGATACTCAAAAATTTCGCAGCAATGGACGGATAGCAAACTTGTTTGGAACCCGAAAGAGTGGGGAGGCATCAACCAGATCCACATAGCGTCCGATCAGATCTGGACGCCGGATGTTGTGTTATACAACAAGTAAGCTACGCTTACAGAGAGATACAGATTTTCTTTGTTTAGCGCTGACGGGGAACCGCATATCAACATCGCCTCGCTTGCTATGGTCGATTCTCAGGGAACTGTACGTGAATATCAGTCCGAAAGCTGACCTTCAACCTAGGTGATCTGGATGCCACCCTCCATTTATAAAAGCTTCTGCGCCATCAACATTGCTGATTTCCCATACGACTCGCAGACGTGTGAGATGAAATTTGGAGGGTGGACAAACGACGGTTGGACGTTTACAGCTATCAAAACAAAAAATAGGTCAAACCCTTGATCTACAACAAATTTCGCCTGTCGTAAATGAAAAGCCAGAGAAACGATTCGATGACACAGGAACCGAATATCAATTTTTGCCTAATGGAATGGGACTTTCATTCTATCATTCGTAAGTCACCCAAATAGAAAACAAAAAACCCTTCTAGGTCTGCGGAATGGGATTTGATATCGATAACATCTTCCCGTTATGCCCAAATTTACCCGGGCTGCTGCGGTGAGAAACCACTAATTTTCAGGTCAACGCAAAATTCAGGGCAAGTCTACTACATCGATATTCGCTATTCACTAGTACTCCGGCGAAAAGCTATTTTCTTTACGGTCATGCTAACCATCCCATCGATGTTGATTAGTAAGTAGACATTAAAGATAGACAAGCAAACCTTTTACAGCAAACATGACGCCATTTGTCTTCTTCATTCCACCCATCGAGCACAAAATGACCTTCTCCATCTCGATCTTCGTGGCCTTCTCCGTGTTCTACCTGGTCCTAATCGAAATCATTCCACCAACTTCACTTGTTCTTCCGTTAATCGGTAGCCCTTATATCCTAAATATCCTTCAAAAAATATCCAGGAAAATATCTGCTTTTCACTCTTATCATGATCTTTTGCTGCACCATCGTTTCCGTGGTGAACATTAATATCTACCGACGGTAGGACTAAAGCAAAACTAAAAATCCATTCAGACAAGCCTTTGCCTGGGAAATGTCAGATTGGCAGCGCTGGCTATTTGTGCGAACGTTACCGAAATATTTGAAGCTGAAACAGCTCGATTATAGCGAGGAAGAGAAAGAACGAGAGCGGAAGGGTAGCTAAAGCAAATCATCTGGATCTTAAGTCCTAGAGACTGAAGAGAGGAAGCTCAGGAGAATGGCGAGACGAGGCAGGCGGGTGAGATCGAAGCGCGCTCCTGCCGCAGACACATCTCCGGTCTTTCGGTCAAGAAGGTTGAGACTGCTCAGCCTCGTCGAGGTGCGATATATAACTTGACGTAGATGTTTTTAGATGGACGTTAGCTTCCGTAACAGAAGCGCGGCCGACGCCCACTCACTAATCAAACAGTTGTCAAATTCCGTACAGATTATTGCCGCCCATTTTCATAATCAAAGTCAGGAGAGCAAGGTAGACGAATGTAAGAGCGAGATTGAGGTATTACAGATCACGGATGAGTGGAGATTGATGTCCCTTGTCATCGACCGAATATTCCTAATCGTTTACGTTCTACTAAATTTAGGCGCTAATGTCTGGCAAGTGGCTAAAACTAAAGAATAATCCAGCCTCGCGTTTTCAGGTTCGTTTTATCCGTGCCGACAATATTTGATGACCGGCCTGAGCTGTTCGGCACCCCAGCCTACAAGCCCTTGTCCGGGGACGCAATCAATATCCTCTCACGGCCAGACTTTGAATATCCTGTCTAGCCACTCACGATTCGGGTGAATAAGAGCTTGATAAAATGTGATTGTATCTCCGCAATTCGTTATGTACGCATTTTCCAGCAACATGAGACCCTCAAAAACATTTATCCTTGAAAAACACGTACTCTTAAATAACAGAGAACAATTATTTTCATAATTTTACTACGAGGGGGTGTCGCAATTCGCTATACACTAACTAGAGGCATTTAGAGGGCGAAGAGGATCATGAAACCCATGGTGAGGCAGAAAAGTCCCATAGCTTCAGACAGAGCGAATCCAAGAATGGCATAGGAGAACAGCTGCTGCTTGAGGGACGGGTTGCGGGCGTATCCGATGACGAGGGCTCCGAACACGTTTCCGATACCAGCTCCAGATCCGGCGACACCAACGGTGGCGGCTCCAGCTCCGATGTACTTGGCAGCGCTGTCGATATCCTTTCGGGCCACGGAGGTGTGGAGGCAGCGGGCAGCCAGGGCTCCCTCGGCGCGCAGGGCCACCGACGTCCTCTGGGCCTGAAACGAAAAATTAACTCAAGGCAAATAATTAAATACCAAAAATCGTTAGTCCAAAATCAATATTGATCCCGAGCATTGGCTAGAAATCGCTCACAAATCAACCAAAGAAAGCGTAAACGGCGGCGGATCAATTTTGCTATGCAAAACTACCAAACTCCAAAAAAAAACTCACGAGGATGGAGCGGGCGAGAGGAACGGCGAGGCGCTGGCAGTACATGCTGAGATAGATTCTACCCTGGAAAGGTGAGGATTAGACCGAAGGATAACATAAAAACGGAAATGGAACAAATTGGGACGCAAATATCGATCGTAAATACGGGGAGCTTTTGAATGGCAGTACGAGAAATTGAGGAAAGTGTTGGGAGGGGCTCTGGCCGAGGAGAAACGGGCGGTGCAGGGTCCCGGCACGCGCGCTCAAAGGCGGCTCCAATCATGACATACGGTGGAAGGGGCGCGCTTTTGGCATGTTGGTAGGGGCAAAAGCCAAAAGCCTTTAACAAAATTCACAAAATTGAAGTAAAACTAAAAATTTGTAAACGGATAACCCTGCAAAAAATTTAGCATGGGGCCTGAAAAATCGTCGATTTTTGAGCATTAATATAGGCACAAGGAATAGGAACAAGGGCACTCGGTGGGATGCCCGGTTACTAACGTGGGGTCTAAATTAACTTTTACATCAAATATTTTTAAGAATCAAAATTAATATTTTTTTTGACCAGATCACGCTCATCATCGAAGTTTCCGTCGGTATGACGAAATGGCAACGCGCAGTTGGCAGCAATCGTGGCGAGACGCTGGTAGCCATAGTATCGTCGACACATTAATAGTATACCCAGAGATTGTCGTATTTTTTTAGTAAACATCACACGGTTGTAATAACCTGTCTTACCTCTAAAGTGCGTTCTGATGCTAGATGACAAACTACGATGTAATTATTTGTTCATTATTTTAGATGATATTACAATTTTATAAAAACAAATCCAAAAACAAAGTAAGGTACTATTGAAGTTGAGGGGGGCAAAATTTTTTTTGCGGCCAATTTTCGTCATTCTCGGCTATTTTGTTGAGTTTTTAATGCTGAATTGAATGCAACTATTTTTAAAATTATTGGATTCGTTTTTCTGAATATTTTAGCAACATTTTTAATAGTAGTTTTATCATCGGGTTTTCGGGCGGTATACAGTAATGATGCCTAAAAGACACTCGATAGAGGTATAAAAGGCAACGTGGAGCGTTCAAAGTTTACTTTTCGCATTTAACTTGGCCAACACCATGGCCAACTCAATCGACGCGTTGCGCGACATAACCCTGCTCGAGCTCATGCCGAAAATCCACAAGTCAGACAAGGAACTTGAGGATTGGTTTAACAGACAAGGACTCAACTCACAAGGAAATCGCCTTTCAATGCAATATCTCGGAGTTAAAGTTAAAGTTCAGTTAAAAATAGTTGCATTCGATTCAGCATTAAAAACTGAACAAAATAGTCGAGAATGACGAAAATTGGCCGCAAAAAAATTTTGCCCCCCCCCCCCAACTTCAATAGTACCCAAAGTAATTTTCTACATAAAAGCCTTGGTGCGCTGCAATGAGTGATTATCAAACTCCTTATCTACAGACAAACACCAGTAAATTTTGCCATATTTGGCAAAGCTGGTGGTTTTGAAGTCCTTATCCTTTGGGTCAGTTCGGTGAACAGCTTGCTAGGCAGAAACATGCTAGCAAAGAGGCTTTGCCGATGCTCTTTCTTACGATCGAATTTGCAAATATAACCAGTGGAAGTCCCTCTAAACGGTTTTTTCCATTCCTAAACGCGAAAGCTACATTTTTTTGTTAAAAAAATATTCAAAACATTTATTTTCGACCAGAAATCCCCTTTCGATCAAATTTCGACTTCAACATTTTTAAAGATAGTTTTTCTATTTGAAGTATAGGTATGTCTTACGAACGAGTACCAAACTACTTCCTATTAAGTTACTAGGCATTTATAAACTTTTAGAAAGACATTTCGGTTTCCCGGCGATAACCCCCCACCGATAATGCGAAAGCAGCCTAAAAGCGTTGCAAATACTTCGTGATTGGGCCGTACAAGATTCGGGGCAAAAAGGTCCCCCGATTTTTCCAGGTATCTCTTGTCGGGGAGGAGGTTATTTTTGAGGAAATCCGGTAGTTAGAGGTCCGCAGCGTCAGGCAGACTTCCAGATGCTCTAGGTTCAAAGTTCAGTGTATCTTCCATCCGAATCTGACCCCGACGTCACCCTTTTTTCTGGGTCACTTGCAAAAAGTGACGATCTCGGTGGGATGGGGGCGATGATTGGGCGCTCCGGACGATTGTTTGCGTAAAAAATCGTGGCAAGATGCGTGGATGTGTGTGTGGCGGGGTGGCTGTCCCGTCAAGATTAGTGGATATCTGCCAATTGACGGTGTGTGTGTGGGGCTGTGTGTGTGATGTGACCCATCCGGTGTTCGTGAGGCTTCTTCATCTGGGGCGGAGACTCTATCTAGTATCTGGTCTGTCGGTCGTATGGATGGACCGGGGCACTTGAACGCCTTCTTCTGCCCGGGGTCCACGCCCGCCGGCTTCTCCCAGCTTCTTCTGCAGCTTTGGCATTATCATTCCGAGCCATTGATCCCTAGTATCTAGTCGTGAGATGATCCGCGGGCTGTTCATCTGCTTTGGCGTAATTTTTCTGGCAGCTAATGCCTATATTATTCAGGTAAGCTGTTAATTTTTGTATCTGGTAATTAAGCTGGTAATAAGCGCGTTTTTGTCTAGATCTTTGCTAGCTTTTATCGCGTAATAGATAACACCGCTTTTTTTTCTGACGATGTAAACATAAATATACAACTGGCCAAACTACAGTACCCCCAGAGCTTGTCTTCACCTACTGTATCTCGGCTCCCTATGGTCCTACAGGGTTGTAAAGTATACCAAAATGCTCGCAAGACCAAGACGAACACATTTTAGTATACTTTAAAAATCTCTATGCCAACGGGGAGCCCAGATACAAAAGCTGGAGGGGGATTTCATTCTCAGCAATAGATTAATGGCGCAATTAATAGGACGTTTTGATTTTTTCATTTTATGAAGCCACCAGTAGAGGGGAACTTAAATTGGTGCGAAAATTTTAAACGTGAAACGGTACTTATAGAATTTTTTAAATAAATTAAGGTATGAGCGCGGTGTAAATAAACTAATAAAGATTAGTAGCGTTTGATTGGTAATTAATAAATATAAAAGCGCAGTAAACAAATCAAAACAAAGGAATACTATTTTTTTTTGCAAAAGCTGGAAAGCCTCAGTTTTCCCCAATGACCCCAGCTGGTCTGCCTACATTCTGTGTTTTCGCAATGAAAAACTTTCATTTTCTTATTTCTAAAAGATCTAGAAAATATCTGTTTCCCCATAAATCATCGCTAACCTACCCATTCCCCAAATGGTCTCTGCTAGCCTGTCTCCCGCGAATTGTTGCGGGCTGCACGGGGGAATAACCCTCGAAACAGCGGGGGGATCACCGCCGGATATCAGCGACACGTGCCCATCAAGCTTTGAGAGTTCCGGCCCTTCTCTGTCTGTCTGTCGATCAGTCTATTTATTTGTCTGTCTGTGTTTTGCGGGGCGTTCCATACCACTCCGTTCAGACGTTCCCAGGAGCGATGCGTAGTCCGGGATTCTACAACAACCCGGTCAATAGTGGATATGGCTTCGATTATAAGGGTATGCGACGAGAGAGAGAGAGAGCGAGAGAGGAGAGAGAGCGAGAGATAGAGAGAGAGATAGAGAGAGTCGCTAACTAAATTTCCAGAATACATCAAACGACACACCCGCGGGGCCCCGATCATGATCTACACGCTGAACGACTGTATCCCGTGCCGAAAAACGAAATCTCTGCTGCAGCAACAGTACCCCGACGTGCCCGCCTATTTCATGGGTATTTCCGGGGTACGGTAGGCAGATTGTCGTTTAGAATTGGGCCACGGCTACCCATTCGAGAGGCGGCTGGAGCGAGATTTGCTCGAAGTGACCGGCCAGGACACTTTTCCGTACATTTTCGTCTGCGGTCGCTTCATTGGAGGTATATAATTGGGAGGCAGGCAGGCTAGCAGAGGTTTTTGGGAATTTGGAATCCATGTAGGGCAAGCTAGCAGAGATCGCTTGGGAAAATCCGAGATCAAAGCAATTCAGGGCAGCTTTGATAAGTGGTAGGCTAGCAGAAACCATTTAGGAAACATGTGAAGATAAAAAAGGAATATTGTGTTAAGAAAACTGTAATTGAACAAAAAGCTAGGGCAGGATAGCAGAGATCATCTAGGAAAAAGGCGGACTAGCAGAAATCGTTTGGGAAATCGAGGGCAAGCAAGCAGAGATCATTCAGGAATTTGGGAATTTGAAGGCGAGATAGCAGAGATACTTTCGAAACTCGGGGGGAGGCTAGCAACGACACTTTAGGGCTTAAGACAAGATAGCAGAGACCATTTAGGAATTGGAAGGCAAGCTAGCAGAGACAATTTGCGATTCTTTTCAGGCTCCTCCGACCTATTCAACCTCCATAATTATGGCCGTCTCCGACCGACCGTCAATTCTTGCCCGGCCACCGGATTCCATCGAGATTAAAAAGCCTTAATAAACATCCAGGGTACCGTAAATTGATTCCACTGTATTTATCACTCTTTCATTTCACTAAATTCTTTCATTATTTTATTGTTTTGTACTTAAATTGTTCATTTTTTTATTATTTATTGAATTCCCGGTGTCACATTTCCATCCCCTTTCCTCCCGGTCCAGATTGTGATGATCCTCACCGAAACGTATTCTGACTGCATAAAAATTTTTTAAGATGTACCTTTAAGATCACTTTTCACGCAGCGTGTCAATGAAGAATCATGGGGCAGGCTAGCAGGGATTCTTGAGGAAATATCCGGGAGAAGCCGCCGAACATCTTTTTGCCTCCACTATCGATGGGTTCAGTCCGGAACGGTACTATTTACAGTCGGCACGCGACCCCCCACAGACAGCAAGTGCACCAAAACAACCGATGAGTGAAAGGGGGAGGGAAATGAGGAAAACAAGGCCAAGCTATCGTGTGCATGAAATTCCACATTTTACCCGGTTTCATCCTAAAAGTTGCCCGCTTTTTTTTATCATATTTTTGTGCTAAAATCGTGCCTGATCATTAATGTTTACTCGGGTCTGACATCTGCGCAATCGCATGCTAATACCGCGCGCGAAATTCCCGCCTAGTTGTGTACTCGGAATTGTTCTTAAAAAGTATCTTAAATTCTGTCTTATTTGCGGCATTTATTTCTCATCATTTATTATATTTATTTCTAAGATATTCTTAATAGAATTTGATTTTATGTGATATGAGTTTTATTTGCAGAAAAAAATGGCGGAAAAATTACGGTCACTACGAGCGGCGATTCGGAAACGATATACAAGAGGTAAAGGTCTCTCTCTCTCTCTCTCTCTCTCTCTCTCTCTCTCTCTTTCTCTCTCTCTGTCTCTCTCTCTCTCGCTCACTCTCTATATCTATCACTGATTTGTTTTAGCGATGCAATTCGACCAGCTTCAACATGTTAAAGACATCTTCCTCGAGTTTCTCTTCAACCTCTACATCCTTATCGTCGACTTCTGCTTTGCCGTCTATTATTCTGTCAAACCAAGGTATCCCCACCATTCCATTAACACTCAACATTATCTAACCTTAGAATCTTTATAAACACCCGTCCAAAACACCCGGCCCTTCTCCAATCAGCCACCCAAACCCATAAGGATATCATCGAGGGAAAGCACAGTTGCGCCGACGTCATGGAGGCTTTCATCGAACGGCTTGAGGAGGTCGGTAGAGCTGGAGATGCTCACGATTTTTGATTAGGTGAACCCGATCGTGAATGGTATCTGTGCAAAGGATTATGGATCGGCGAGGCTCAAGGCAAAGGCGATGGATGATATGTTGAAGAATTTGAGTCGAGAGAAGAGAAATGAGGTAAACTGGGAGCAGCTGCACTTGTTGATGTTGATTTGAAACGTGCGTCAAGTTGGAGCAGTTCAGCCATTCTGAATTGCTGAAGGGCGTTCGGCGTTCGGCCTTATCGTCTTATCGGATGAGAATGAGGTTGAACTGCTGCAAGACGACCGTCAATTGCCAAATACCAAATCTGTCGAAAATGACAGAATAATTCGACCGCAATCTCGCCAAATTTAATCGAAAACCCGCAGTACTTGTCGAAGTTGTCCCACCGAACCGCCTGGTCCGGTTTGAACTTCTCGAGGTCATTGAGGGCGCGCAGCGTTGGGATTAGTTACGAATCTGGGGTCGTTATCCATCAATTAGATTAGAAAGTCCAGGCCGTACTTGTTGAATTCGTCGGATTCGATCGAATGGCATTTACAGCTCTCGATCCATCGCCCGTTTTTTGGTATCCCGATCACCGTGAAGAACAACATCGACGTCAAGCGGCATGTGAATGTTTGTGGATGGTGGAAGATGAGGGAGAATCGAGCCACTGAGGATGCACCATGTGTACAGAGGTGTATTTTGTAGTGTTCTGGAAGATCAATAAAATTTAGAATGAGGGAAGCGGGGGCAATAATCGTGGCATTGACCAACGTGCCGGAATTGTGCTTGTGGATTGAGACTTCGAATACGACATTTGGTGAGAAGGAGATAGAGGGAGAGAGAGCGAATAAATAAATATACCTTCTGTTCCAGGTTATACCAATAACGCCTACGACACGCGACGTACTTGCGGTGGCTCGAGCGGCGGCGAGGCGGCCCTAATCTCGGCCGGAGCGAGTGTTGTAGGTTTTAAAGGGATTGTCAAGGCATGGCTATGGATTTTCCCGGTCATGAACTTTGCCGCACCGCGACATGCAACGCACCGGCGCGATTTTCCAAGACGTAATCGATTAGACCCAGCTAAACGGCATGCGTTGCGGCTCGCGGCCGGTACTACGATGAGGTTTTCCTCTCTATAGATTCTATCGCGTGATCGGTTAAACCCTTTAAAACTTCGAAAAATAGTGCGCATGTTTGGAAAGATCTATAGCCATGGCTCTGGCCCTCTAAATATAACGTCAAGACTGAAAAATTAAGGTCGGAATCGGCACAGATATCGCGGGCAGCATCCGTGTCCCCTGCATGTTTTCCGGTCTTTTTGGTCTGAAGCCGAGTGCCGGTGAGTGATTTGGGTGACGGTAGAGCGGGCGTCATTTAGAAATCTCTCCAATCGAGGGATTGTATCCGGTGGATAGGGCCAGTCGAGCCTATCTGCAGACAGTAGGGCCGATGTGTCGATATGCCGAGGATTTGGCCCCCATGTTTCAGGTATATTTATTCAGGTATTCAAGTATACGGTACCTTAAAGGAACTTGGAAGGCTGGGCTTTGGGAAAGAAATGGCCGTAACTTTTCCGGCTTGCATACAATGGCTCTGAAATTTTTAAGGTAGATACGGGCGTGTATCTTCGGCTTTCACAAAATTCTTAATCCGAAATACTTTAATGCGCAAAAGTTATATTACTTTAAAGGTAATTGTAAGGCTAGGATTTTAGCGAAAGTATCTCGTAACTTTTCCGGATTAAATCCGATTTCTTCGAAATTTTGAACAAACACGCGGACGGTGAAAAACTAAATAACCTCTAAATTTGAACCAAAGATTGATAAATATGCAAAAGTTGTGGCGTTTTAAAGGTACTTGGAAGGCAAGGATGACAGTGTAAATATCTCCGAACTGCCATATCAAAGCAAATTTTTCTAAAAATTTGTTGATTATAAAAGACAGGCAGAGAAAAAAAATTGTACTAAATTTTTTAGCTTGAAATCTTTAAAACTTAAAAAAGGTTATAGCGGAAATCAACAAATTTTAGGCGATGTGCTTACCGAGTAAATTCGGGCAACTCCGTCCGGCGAAGGAGTTCAAGGAGCTGAAGGTCAGTTCTAAAGTTCTTGGCTTCAAATAATTGCGCACCAGGCTTTCTGCTTCTCCGGCTACAAGGGCTGGTGCACCGAGCGTCTGAGTGGAGATCAGCGATTTGCATTTGATATGGTAGGTTTTTTGCCTTGGTGCCGTTTAAATGGGCCCCGAAAACAGAGAATCGCCCCCTCCCGTCGACTGGGTATCGACAGTTACACGACTATCCAAAGGACGTGGAATTTAAACTAGCTGAAAGGTTACAAAAATCCTGAAATTTCCTAAAAGTTATAAAAATCTGCTTGAACGTCTTGAGGTTGACGTTTGTAGATGTTCCAGGTTCGACGCCAACCCCGAGAGGTCGATTTTCGTAAAAGTCAAAAAATACGTTCTAATACCCTCATTTTCAGGTAGTGAAATACTTCGAGGAAGCGCTCGATCAACCGGTGACCCATTTGGCGATGCCGCACGAGGAGAAGCTGTATGAAATGTGCGCCACCTCGGTGCAGGACGGGTTGGAGAAGCCGTATTGTGATATTATGGAGGGCACTAGGGTGTGTACTTTCGTTTTCCCAAATGGTCTCTGCTGGCCTGCCCAACAGCTCAAATCGCTCAAAACATCGATCTCTTTGTTCCTAAATGGTCTCTGCTCGCATGCCCTGGGCCCCTTTTGGTCAAATTATTGATTTTCCGGTTTCTAAATGACCTCTGCCACCCTCCCCTCTTTCCAGACATACGCCGAATTCATCGTTGACTGGGCTCAAACCCTCCTCGGCAACCGGAAATCCAAGCATTCCCGGCTCAGCCTACAAGCCAACGTTAATTCACTTCTGATGCATGGCGTGACGAAAGAACAAGTTGAACAGGTACGAGTCTCTCTCTCTCTCGCTCTCTCGCTCTCGCTTTCTCGCTCTCTCGCTCCTTTTAGCCCGTTTATTTCAGGCCACCCATCTTCGTGATGAGATCTCGGATCAGCTGTGTTCAATACTTGGCGATGATGGGATTCTGATAGTTCCCGGTTGGCCAACGACAGCTGTTTATCACAATCGGACTGTTTGGAAGCATTCGGGGATCACACATACAGGTGAGAGAGAGAGAGAGAGAGAGAGAGAGAGAGAGAGAGAGAGAGAGCTGGCTAGCCAGGAATCTTTGAGGAGTCCACGAAATTCGGGAGATATTCCAGCAAAAATCACGCAGCGAAAATACCGACAGCCCAAAAAATACCGAATTGTTGCATGTTGGTATTTTAGCGTTTCCTGCCGGGGCAAGCTAGCAGAGATCCTTTAGGAAATCACCCCGTGTAAATCCATTTTCAGCTGTCTGGAACGCATTCGGGATGCCGGTGATTGCTGTACCGTTAGGCCTGAGCGGTGATGGTCTTCCTCTATCTGTCCAGGTACCTTTAAAGGACCATTGAAGGCATGTCCCCCTATAGATTGTCGGTTCGAAACTGTCGGATCTGACCCTCCTCCGGATGGCCGAACATCTCGATGGTCATCTACCGAAATGCGAAAAGCCACAGCTGTTTCCGGGATTTGTTGGGCCATGGACGCTCGGACAGTCGAAAAATTAACTTTTTTAAGCTGCACTTGGATTTCTAAATTTTTTTGACTTTGGAATAAGGTTTTAATTTAATTTTACGGGTCAAGATAATTTTTAAACGTAAACTGCGCAATTTTTTCGAAGTAAAACGCAAAACGTAAAATTTAAATAGCTTCTAAAAAGTGAATTTTACGATTTTGAGGTTTTTTGGTAATATTTTAAATCGTCCCCTTCCAAATTTGCTAAAACAAACTAGTTATAAAAAATTAAAAAAGATAAATTTTCAGACAAGAAATGGCCGAGTTTCGACCAAAATTTCTTCATATTTTAATTTTTTAATGTTTTTCTACTTTGAAGTATTTTTATAGTTCCCCTCCGATACCGCCCCCCGATATTGCAAGAGTACCAAATGTCGCCTCATTAAAACGTTGTAATAAAAATTTATACAACACAAAGTGACACATCAAAAACACACTCAACGGGGGCGTCGGAAAGAATTCAAAAAAGGGGCGGGCACCGGTTTTTGCATTAGATTATGGCGGAGGGTGGGCTTAACTGTAGTAATTTACATACAAATACAGCGAAAAATACAGCCCTAGTATATGCTAGGGGGTACGGTAGCTAACAAAAAAATGACAGTTACCATGGAAGGTACTGGTCTGTTAGCGGGGGAGGTTAGATTTTTAATGGTTCTCTTTCCTATACGCCTGTTAAGAAAAGATAATCTATTTTTAAAGTTTTTAGTCCCCCTCCGCTAACAGACCAGTACCAAAAATTTGCCTGAAAAGGGGCCTGGCCTAGGCGAAAAGATGGGGCGCCTTGTAGCCGATGATGAATGTACAGATAAAGAGAAAACAAGAAAAACTGATGAAGCAAATCCGGTCGATGACCATCGCGGCAAAGATCCACTCGCCGCGCACGCTGTGCATCATCTCCTGGAAAGCGAATGGGCTATTAAGGCGTTTAAAGGGACCGGCAAGTCAAATGAGCTATGAATTTTGTAGCTTTAAGCTTGGAAAATCCGGAAAACGGCGTGCTACAGTATATGACGGTACTGACCTCCTTGCGGATCTTGTTGGAAATGACCTTTATTTCTTGGATGAGACTGTGGAATTGGGTATCGTCCATGTGAGTTCGAGCCATCTAAACAGTCACTCGTAGTTTTGTGTCCATTTCCGTCTCTCCCTCTCTCTCTCTCTCTCTCTCCCTCCCTCCCTACCGTAATCATCTTCTTCTCGAGACCCCTATCTATCGACCCGTTCCGAGGTTGATGCTCATCTTCATTATGGTGATGCAGCGGCTGGAAACAACGCAAAATTTCCAAAAATTCAATGCTACTGTACCGGGGGTATTCTCGTATACAAATACGGTGGTGATCGCTCGGGAGACTAAGAATAGATATGATAGGTTACGGTATCTAAGGCTTACGGTAGGTGGTTTTGATGTTGGAGCGACATTGTTATGCGCGGAATTGTGGGTTGGGGCCACGTTTGGCGGGGCTTCTTTTTTGCCTGGAATTCGTCAATATTGGGGGGAATTCCTAAATGATCTCTGTCAGCCGGCCATAGACGCACTAATGGCAAATCCCCGCCTACCATTCTTCCCCGAGCATAAATCGAGATGTACAGTAGTCCTTGGATATTGTCCAGGATGTTTCAACAACTGTCGATCCACCTCTACCACATCATAGGTGTAACGCTTTTTTCTGAAAATAACGGAATGTTTGAATTGGTGTATTAAAATTACCTGGGTGTATCTTTGATATATCCATTACCAGGACATGGAGATGGGGGAAAGAAATCGGCCGGTCTCTCCAGGAATACCATTGATGGTAACCAATCAAGGAGCAGCTTTCGCGTCTGAAATTACGGGTTTCTAAGAGTGGTGGGCTTTATGTGAAAAATACGGTAGTTTTAACAACATTTTTTAAATTAGAAAAACAACAGTATGGATAATTTCATTTTTGCTGGCCTTTCCAAATATTCACAGTTCATTCAGAAGGGCTTCTAGGTTTCCCTAATAATCTTTGCAAGCTCTCCTCAATGGTCTCTGCTAGCTCTCCTAAATGCTCACTACTAGCCCTCCTTAATGATCTCTGCCAACCCTCCTCAAAGATCCTGCTGGCTCTCCTTAATAGATTTTGTGCTCTTACCTACCGTAGCTAATAACTCCAACAAAATTCCGTTGTATACGCTTTACACGGCAAACCGTACGCTACTGTACTATGCTTACTTACCGTAGCCCCCATCGGACGATACTGCTCGGGCCCACGATGATGAAAGTTGAGTGCCAACACTGTGCATAATACACTTGCCCCCACTTCGAACATTATACACGAGAAGTACACCTCTGAAAATCGGTAGGTTAAGATAAATTTCCGCAAAGTATCTCTGCTAGCTAGCCCTGAAATTTACCAATTAACGGTAAGGCATCAGAAGTTTGGGGCATCGCCTCAGCCACCATCAACATGAACACGCAGAGAGACATGAAGATTGTCACACCTGGGATTACGGAAGATGGGTTAAGTTCGATAGGTAAAAAAACCGATTTTTGAAATATTTTGGCGACGACTTGTAGCCGTTCAGGTCCGGGTTACGGAAAATGTTCAACAGCTTTAAAGTCGTCAAGTACTGTCGATTAAGGCAAATGAAAACGTGAAAATAACATAGATAATTTAAACCGCTATTGTCGGCCGCCGACTTGAAGCTGTTCAGAACCAGGTTACGGTAGGTGTCCAAAATACAGTTTGAAAATGCCCCCATTTCAACGCACAAAACAGGATTGCTATTTTAAACGGCTATCGTCGGCCAACGACTTGAAGCTGTTCAACCTCCGGTTAGGTAGATGTTCAGAACTTCGATTAGATATCCTTTGTTTTAACTATTAGAGCAGGTATTTTCAACCCGTTCCAACCGGTCGGGGTACGGTAACCAGAAAACCTTCCAAAACCCACACAAATTGAGCTTTTCCCCAGAATCCGGAGGAAGACTGAAGCCGAGAAGAGCAAGAGCTGATATCAACATACAGGGGAGCACAAGGTTGAACCTGAAAAGTACTAGGTTATATTTTAAGCCAAGCGGAACAGGCAAGTAACTGACGTACCCGTAGTAAAGTGTGCGTCTTCGGATAGTGATAGTGAATGTGACATCATAATATGGCTCTGGGCAGCATTCATAGTAGAAGATCGAACGTCCGGATTCGAGCCCTGAAAAACAGGATGAAAAGCGTTGGGAATGTGTCCATTTCCCCGTGAAATTGAGCATGAGATACAGAGAGGGCCAAACCAACCCAAAAGTTGCCACTCCCCATTCGGCTGATACGTGGCTGTAGATGAGGTTTGATTTCGGAGATCCGTGAAAAAGCCGGAATACGTCCACGACCCGAACTTCATACTACAGCGCTGGGTGTCGAACGGAAACCTGAATTTTGGGGGCTAAAATTTCCTCTAAGATTAGAGGGGTGGACACGTGGTAGTTAACGCAACTTACCAAGCGATATCAATATTGCACGTGCTTCTGATGATGGCCGGAGGGATCCAGGTGACGTTTCCGTTACTGTAATACTTTTTAAAGGACGGGTGAAGGGACCGACTAGAGGACAACCGCATTTACTGGCCATGTTGAGTCGAATTGTTGGTCCACGGAATTGTAGAGGAGCACGTCTGAAAGTTAAAAATGATGTGATTCCTCAATGATCTGTGCTAGCCTTCCTAAATGATCGCTGCTAGTCTTCCTGAATAATCTCTGCTAGTTTGCCATTTTTAAATACCTAAATTTGCATAAATTTGCTTATAAAATCGGAAATCACGCTCTTTTCCATACCTTGACGACTACCTAAACCCAGCTCTCCTTCGCCACCGTCGTTCTCTCCTTTTCTCCCACTCTCTCACTCTCCTTCGCCGTCCTCCTTGCCGACGTCGTTCGAGATGGGGAAGGACGACAAGAAGAAGAAGAGCAAGAGCAAACACTCGCGCCACGCCACAAAGGGCAGTCGCAACAAGCCCTCCAACCAACAGGCATCCGGTAGGGATTCTTCACGGGACTGACGAGTCTGTATTCAGTCACACATAGCATCAACCAGTCGGTGTCGATCGATGTACAGGAGCAGGTGCAGGCATTTTGCATGAGCATCCTCAAGCGCACCTTCCAAGGGGTTCGCAAGGAGTTTGCCGACAATAAGCGGTGGGTACTTGCGCTGCTCCCTCCCGTCCTCGAAACACACGCCACCTGGCTCACTGCCTGGCCCGGCCTTTATCAAGCACCCCTCCCCCTCTCGAGCGCTTTCCTGTTGGCCTATTGGCTAGCAGCCCTGCCCCTCGATCCAACCCTTAAAGGGATGCCGACGGCATAGTCAATCGGTTACGCGCTGGAAAGAAAATGTCTCTGCGCCTCTCCCCTGGGCGCGCTCTCTCCCCTGTTGGCTACCTGCCAATTTGTTGATGGGGGGGGGATCGACACATGCCGTCGGCAGCCCTTTAAAGCGGCTCTGGCAGCACACCGATTACGGCATTTTGGGGACCGGGCAGAGACGCAGAGTTCTGTCTGCGTCTCTCCTCTGGGCGCGCTCTTTCTCTCCCTGCCGCGACGCACCCGACCGCGACGCTTCCACGAATCGTGGAAAAACGAGCCTGCTGCCAGAGCCCCTTTAAGGGTTCGACCCCCAGACGAAACCGAACTTTTGCTTTTTGCTCAAAAACACCACATATAAATGCACCATCATTTCAGCAACTTTGCTATGTCCAAGTGCTCGGTCTTCCAAAAGAACCCGCAGAAGAACCGCTACAAAGATGTCGGCTGCCTGGATGATTCCCGTGTGGTGCTGCGCGACAACGGGGCCGACGACTACATTCATGCCAACTACGTGGCCACCCCCGAGAGTGCGAAGCGTTTCATCTGCTGCCAGGCACCGTTGGACAAGACGTGTACCGATCACTGGAAGTGGGGGAAAAGCTCTCTCTCTCTCTCTCTCTCACTCCCTTTCTGATCTCTCTCTCTTTTCAGAATGATCGTCCAAGAGAATGTCGAAGTGATCCTGATGCTGTGCAATTTCAAGGAAAAGGACACTGTCAAGTCGGCCGAATATTTCCCCTTTACCGACATCACCCAGCCGAAGATCTTCGGCCCGTACACCGTCCGCTGTACCAACAAGGAGAATGTTCGTGCTCTTACCTAGGGAGTGACTATACTGTGGACGTAGCCATACAGCGACACCTTTAAAGGGTTGTTGGTTCTGTTCCGTTAACGGGGGAGGCTAGAAGTGACCCCCCGCTAACAACCCAAAACCGCGTTATTTCAGTTTAAATGGCCGACCCCGACGACAGCCGTTGTTGTCGTGTCTTCATTGGTTGTCGAAGTTGACGGGCGTCAACACAAGGTTCTCCACTACCACTGGCAGGATTGGCCGGACCGCGGGGTTCCTCCAGCCGATCAGGCGCCCATCGATCTGCTCAATGTTCTCTCGCGAACAAAGTAAGGCTTATCGTTGCGATTTGCGTCGCGGTTTGCGTCGCGTATTGCGTCGCGTACTGCTGGCATTGCTGTGGCGCCGTTCCTTCCTGTATCTCGGCTCCTTGTTGTGCTACATGGCTGTAAAGCATACGAAAATGTGCGTCTTGGTCAGGGAAGCATTTTGGTATACTTTACAACTTTGTGGGACGACAGGGAGCCGAGATACTGTACGTGAGGTATGATGGGGTTCAGGCCGCGAGTCGTGAGGCGCGAAACACCCGTACTTTCAGACATCCGATGGTGGTGCACTGCTCGGCGGGAATCGGACGCACCGGGTCGATTGTCCTCATCCAATACATCCAGGAGGCCATTAAGGCTGGAAAGGTAAAAGGAGAAGGGGTTGCGGTTGCGTCGCGTCGCGACTGTGTGGTGCATGCATCTGGGAATTCCACCACAAGGTTCTGCTGCTTCGCGGTTGCGTCACGTGCTTTTCGCAATTTCCTGTGTCACCGTGTCAGCGCCGCATTGCGGTCGCGTCGCGGTCGCCTCACGGCCCGCTCAAACCACCGTTTTACAGCCATGCGACAAGGTGGAGAAGCTGCTGATCGAGTTGCGGAACCAGCGCGCGAACTCGGTGCAGACGGACTATCAGTATTTGTACGTGCATCAGGTGCTGCTCAACTACTATCACAAGGTAGGGAAACTATCGCCCAAAGCAACACTGCTAGTTACCCCCGTTGCCCTTTTAAAGGGAGTATGACAGTTCAATTCAGCGATCGCTCTCCTTTTGCCGGCTGGTCATTCCTCCATTTAATCCCTAAGAATCACTGTCAGTTGATCATGTTCGCTTAAATTAGCTGTCACACTCCCTTTAATCCTCAAGAACCACTGCTAGTTACCCTTCTCCCTTTAAAGGGACTGTCGCAGTTCACCTCCGAATTTCAGGCGGAATACCTCGATGCATCCATCGAAGGGCCTCTGGCCGAATTCACGGCTGAATACAACAAGTACACGGCCAACGTCAAGTTCTGATTGTCTCTACTCACTCTCCATCGCCATCTGCTGTCTCTCTCCCCCTCGCACTCTCTCGCCGCCCCCTCTTGCTGTCGATTTGTGATGGTGGAATTCTGTTAAATAGTCTGACGAGTCGTGTTCACTTTTGGTTTAAATGCCCTTCCGCCCTGTTCGATCGATATCTGGTGTGTGGAATAAAGGATTTTATGAATTTCCTCAAAGATTTCTGCCTTTTTTTTCCATTTCCTCAAAGGTAGGCCCTGGAAAATTCTAGGTGAAACTTTGCTGGGTAACCGCATTGAACTTGAGCTCGATGAGAAAGTTCCTGAAGAATCTCAGCCAGCTCGCTGACCGGCTCGAACTTGATGAGCTGGCTCGACCAGTGGATTCTCAAAGAATCACTGCTAGTTTGCTAGAGAAAACTCGAATCAATCGATGAAATTTCTCAGGGCCGATTGCCAGCTGTGACGCCTCGGACTCTAGGAGAAGATTCCTCAGGAATCTCTGCTAGCTGATCGGATTGGGCTTGAGCTCAATGAGAAATCCCTCAGGAATCAATGCTAGCTAAACGCCTAGAACTTGACTGGACGAAAAAAAAAATTTGAAAAATCTGCCAGCTGACCACCTCGAACTTGAGCCCCACGAGCGGATTCCTCAAAAATCTCTAGCAGTTGCCATGCAGAACTTGAAAGGAAATCCTCGAAACTTAATGGAATTCCTCAAGAATCTCTGCCAGCTGAGCGGCTTCAACTTGAGCCCAAAATGCAGAATTCCCAAAGAAAAGCTGCTAGCCCGCCCGAATCGTCACGATCTCTTTTGGACCAACTTCCCCAAGAATCTCTGCTAGATTGCCGTCATTTCTGTTCAAAAACTCTCCAAATTTTCCCGGCTCGTACCCCAATTTTTGCCAATAACACCCACCTGGTTTCCATATGGATCCAATCGGCAGTCGGACCTCTTTGATGTTGCCGAATTGGGCCGGGTCCCACGTCAAATAGTGGTCTGTCCAACTCTGAAAAACGAGGATAATACCTGTCGCTGTCCCTTTAAAAAAAGACGGGCAACTAGCAGTGATTTTTGGGATTAAAGGGAGCGTCGGCGAGTCAAGTTGTGCTTTTTAAATTTCGTTTTAATTCAGTTAAACTCACCATTCTGAGCCAGACATTCGAGTGCATTATTTGGCTCTTCTCATCCTAAAATTTGAAAAATTTTAACCTTCAATTTAGATATAGCAATTATAAATAAAATTTACAAGATCTTGGGTATATTTTATAAAATTAAATCAATTTCAATTAATGTAAAAACTCACAATATCAATTATTTGCTGAAAATCGATGCCGAGAAGCACGATGACCGGCTCGGTGTCATTCTAAAAAGCACCCGATTGATACGGTAGTTCATCGGAGGTTCGTACCTTCACCGGTCGGGCCAATCGATTATAACCCATAGTTAGCTTCTCGTATAGCATTCTCTCGTAGTCGCCCGCCCAGATTACTGTAAAAATGACTATTATAGTGATTTAAGAGGCTTGGTTAGTGGCTTAGCCTTGGGCTTAAAGCGCACGTTCAGGGAGGGGCCGTGTACGTGTCGAACGTGTACACCCTATGGACGTAGGGACCGCGCGCACTGCCTGCCCGTAACGCGGGAGGCAATTTCCCTCCTTTGCGACATGGGGCGCCCCTCATCCCCACGCGGGCTTGTAGCTGTGGCTGACTGGTACGCATCCGCGCCTCCTGAGCGGAGGGTCCGGGTTCGACCCCCGGCCGCGGCAAAAATCTTTGCTTTTTTCCAAAAAACGTCCCCGGAACGTGCCCTTAACCCAAAGCTTGGCTTGGCTCGTATCTAATTTTTGTACTTTTGGCCTTTTTTTGGCCTTCCGAATACTTTCAAAAACTGATTTTTACTATTTTTACCAGAAAATCCATTAAATACCTATTTACATATTTTCAACTAGCGTTTTTGTCTATTTTAGCGTCTTGGAAGCGTACGAGCACTCATTGACCGCCACCATAAATCTTTAAAAAAAAAGGGGTGCCCGCCTGGCAATTGTCCCCTTGGGGGTCTCACCCATCCCCCTCAAAAGCACCCATTTTTGGCGCCTTTAAATCGATAAGCCGAGCGTAATGAGTACCTTCTCGTACTCGCTGTGCCACCGTCGGATAGATACAGAAGGCCAGTAGAAAGGAGAGCATTATCTATGGAGGTAAGCTAAAGAGCGAGTTTGGTAGAGAGAGAGAGAGGGAGAGAGAGAGAGAGACGAGAGGGCAAACTAGCAGAGATCACTTGAACAATCCCGAACGATCAAAACCCAACCACCCCAAATTTGGCAACAACACAATCGGAGCCTCGCGGAATCCTGGCACCCCTGGAAAAGTGAAGAGAATGGCATAAGGACCCACTTTTCAGGGAGGGAGAAACCGAGGGGGGGGGCTTAAGATACTGAAGGGCCACGCGGACCCTTAAATGGGATGCACCGACAAGGTTCGACACATTTTAAAGGGAGCGTGACAGAGGAGAGAGAAAGAGAGCGAGAGAGCGAGTGGGAGAGGGAGTGAGAGAGAGGGTGAGATTGGTAGTTTAAAGAACCGGTAACACTTCACTATCTCCAGTTTTTGCCCTCCGGCTTTACGTTTCTCGCTCTCTCTCTCTCTCTCTCGATCTCTCTCTCTTTCTCTGCCTCGGTTTCTCTTAAAATTACTTGGAACGCCTGGTTGTAACTTTCCGTGAATTCCAAGAAAATGGTAGGGAGTGATTGAGAGAACGTATGAGCGGGTGAAAGTGAGAGAGAGAGAGAGAGAGAGAGGGAGAGAGAGAGAGAGATAAATCACGAGAAGGCGAGAGGCAAGGTTCGACACACTTTAAAGGGAGCGTGACAGAGGAGAGACATTTTAAAGGGCTTGAACATTCTGAGGAATAAATTTTTTGGAGAGCTTCTGAAGCTAATTTTTGAGCGCTAGCTGTCCCACTCCCTTTAAAAACTCGGTCTCTCATGTCAGTGCAGAGCACAAAATGCACAAACAAACAAACACCCAGTCGCACCCGCCGAATTTTGCAACATAGCTCTAATATATACCTCTTTTCCCGCCTTTTTGCCCCCTTCCGCCCCTCATCGAATATTTTAACACTCAGCTGATGTGTGGGTCTGTCTCGGCTTTCATAGCCATTCCCACCCTATCTCTCACGCCCAAAAATATGCTAATTTTGGGTTGAAACTGGCTTGCGAGGGCCTTTAAAATGGGAAAATGGGTGTATGAGCGTTTTTCCGCAAAGAATCACTGCTATCTGCCCTGAAAATTATTCTGGCGCGCAAATGGGACACTTTCCGCAAAGAAACACGGCTGGCACGCCTTAAAAGAGAGAGAGAGAGAGAGAGAGAGAGAGAGAGCGAGAGAGCGAGAGAGATAGAGAAGGAGGGAGAGAGAGGGCGAGATAAAGACTTACTTTCGGCAAAGAATCCTGAGAACGAAAGGAGGGGGAAAAGAGGGAGAGAGAGAGAGAGAGAGAGAGAGAGAGAGAGAGAGAGAGAGAGAGAGAGAGAGAGAGAGAGAGAGAGAGAGAGATAGCGAGAGAGCTAGTTTTAAAAATTTTTAACGTTTTAAAACAAATTTCCCAAAGGATTTCTCTCCATCAAATTTTCAAAATCATTTTTTCCAAAAAAACGCTGCTAGCCTACCCCATTTCTGCAAAACTTCGTGCTAGCCTTCCCCGCCCGATTTATTTCCTCAAAGAATCTCTGCGAGCTTGCCCAACCATAAAAACTGAAAGCCCCTTTTCAAGAACAAAAGCCGAGATTGAAAAGATTAGTCTCAAATTTCGGGGGGTAGAACGTCATCTGCAGGGTATCGGAATCCAATCTTTTTGCAACCCGGGATGCAAAAAAGCGGGGCAATCCCGGAAAAGTAATTAGACGCGCGAGAAATCGGGGGATACTCGATGAGGGAGGAGGTTATTTGATATTTTGTGGACGCACGAGGAGGCCAAGGCGTTCGGATGGAGGAGAGAGAGAGAGAGAGAGAGAGAGAGAGAATTTTTAAACCCGGATTTCAAACAAGTTTCGGAAAAATTGTGCGCCACTCGGGCGCCCCGGCGACGCAACAACAAGCGCACCGCGGGGGGCCAAATTCAAATTTGCATCTGGGGCGGGAGTCTGGCTCGAAAAAAGGGATCGGCTTTCCCATTTGAGAGGGAGAAAAGGAAGAGGAGGATGAGGGTCTGAAAATGACGGGAAGGGCATTCAGACAACGGGAAAGTTTCGAGTGGATCGAGGTTTTGGGTTTTAAATGGAACGGGAAGGAAGGGAATCTTAGAATTGTCTCTCTCTCTCACTATCTTTCTTGTTCTCTTTCTCTCTCACTCTTTCTCTATCACTCTTTCCCTCTCTCTCACTTTCTCTCTCTCTCTCTCTCGCTCTCAGGTTAGCAGGGCTTCTTTACGATTTTGCACCTTTTAAAAACAAAACCATAAATATTTAAATTAAACGATTTTAAAGGGACGATCATGTCAAGCGATCACCCCCATCTTCAAGCAGTTCAGGCATCAACCCAAAATTGGCATGTGATCACCCAAAATAATGGATTAACGAATTCCCGGGGATCCAAATATGGGGGCCCCGGCTGAGAATGGGGTGGAAGGAAGGCGGGCAACAGACCATCAGAAGAGACCTCCATAATCGGTATGTTGAGACAAAAAAGGAGCTGGAGCTCACAGAGGGAGAAGCCCGATCCCAGGGGATTTTAGAGCGGATGTGCTCATCGCCAAAAGCACAGAATATAGCGAAAAAACAGCGCATTTGGGGTAAAAATTAAGATCTCTAAAATTGGAGGGCGGGGCAGAATTTTTACTGTTGCTGCGCCTTTAAAACGAGAGAGCGGGAGAGAGCGAGAGAGAGCGAGAGAGAGCGAGAGGGAGCGAGAGAGAGAGCGAGAGAGAGCGAGAGAGAGCGAGAGTGAGCGACTCAATTTCCAGTGCTAGCTTGTCTCCGGTTCGAATGCGAGGTATAAGTGACCGGAAAGAGT